GTGGGAACAGGCTAAGAATAGCCTGTTCCCGAAACCCTGGTTCGGTGCCTGAGTTTCAGGGCCGGTCGTTCTGATGAACGACCGAAAATGGCCCTTTGTTTCAGGCTAAAAAGGCTGTTGCCATTTTTAGTCTGAAACGACACAGGGATAGGCCCCGGAATTCAGGCTTTCGGTCTAAACCAACATGGGGCCTGTAAGCCCTGGATTTCAGGCTTTCGGCCTGAAGGGCGCAGGCCTGGAAAATGGCCTGTGTGTGCAGGCGCAGCATGTAACACACTCTCTCTCTCTCACGAGATCCCTGTCTTGGTTCCCTTGTCTCACTCTGCATACTCACTCCCTACTTATGAGGATCTACTCTGAATGCTACTCACTGATGTCTACTACTAACCCTACTACTTCTACTAATCATGCTGGCGCAGCTATGGCTGCTTCTGCCAGTCAGCGCCCAGCCTCTTCTTCTCCTGCTTGCGCAGCTTCCAGCCAGCGCATTCTCCCTGCATGCTAGCACACAAGTGCTTCAGCACTTCCACGCATCAATGCCAGTGGAAATCTGTCGTGTGGGGAGGCTGGCCTAGTCTCTTGTAGTGTTGGCCTCCCTTCGCGAGGTCTGAATCAATCTTCCTTGGGTCTTTCCCCAGTCCCAGACCACTGCAGAATGCGTCCCAGTACCTTTTCTTCAGGGTCTGCTGCTGCTGCGGCCTTTGGGCCAGAATTTCGGACTTCCAGACTGCATGTTACATGCCCAGTCGGGCAATGTAGGGGAGCCAAGGATCCGCAAAGTGATGAAAAGGACTGAAATGACAATGCAGTGCTAACGGAATATCAACAAGCAATGTTCACCCTGATACATGCAAAGTGGTACTTTGAGACAGCGGGAGACTTGGATACGAATCCTGACTTGACAGGGACTGACAAGACATCTCATGATACTTCACACGTGAGAGAAGAAGAGGAGATAGCAAACTGTAGAGTACCGTGCTGGTACAAAACAGAGCAAGAACCGACCTTCCTCACAGAGCAAAAGATAGCGCAGCGGAATGCTAAAATATCAGTGATCAACCCAGCTAATCTCGGAACACAGATTCAACGTCCATCATCATCGTTGCAAGGTGGGAAAGGCCTGGCGCCATACACAGAAGAGTGCGCCAGGACCAACCATACACAGACGAAGAGAGGGAGGAACAGACGAAGAAGAGGAGGGAGGCGGGAATGTTGCCACCACCAAGTCTTCGGTACAAGTCCCAAATAATCCCTCGTCGAATGTCTGAACCCCAATGTCGAGTCTGGTCCAAATGTCGTCACCCTCGTAGTCTGCAGATACCGAGAAGGTAGGTAGCGGAAGGTAGAGGAGAGATGGTGGACTTAGAAGAGGAAGAAGAAGAACTATCTCTCACTCTCTCTCAGTCCGATACTAACCTGTGAATCTGGCGCCTTGCTGCAGGCACCTCGAAGATGGAGCTGGAGCTATGGCGCCACAGGTAAGTCACCCTGTGAAGCTGGTGCCCTGCTGCTAGTACCTGGAAGATGAAGCTGGAGCTATGGCGCCACAGGTAAGTGCTCCTGGCCTCCGCCAGGCATCTCCCTCCAACCTACTCTAACGCTGCCCTACTGCTATTAGCGCCCAGCGCTGAAGACTACTGCTGACGCTGCCTCCTGCAGCGCTCCTGAAAAGTGCTACTGCCGAATCTACTGCCGAATCCTGAAGACTACTCACTGCCTCTGCCACTACCTGCCTGGACTGTACGTGACGTGCCTGGCCAGTCCCTATGAACTCCCCTCCCGGCCTGTAGGGCGGGCCAGTCTTACATAGTGCTGGCCCGTCCAGGAGGCTGTGAGGAACTTCCGAGAAGTTTCCTAGGTAGCTTCTGGCTAAAGCCTGAGGAAGCTTCCGGGAAGTTTCCAGGTAGCTTCTGGCTAAAGCCTGAGGGCCTAGAGGCCCTTGTTTTCAGGCTGTCAGGCTGAAACGACACGGGGCCTGTAGGCCCTGGTTTTCAGGCTGTCAGGCTGAAACAGACACGGGGCCTGTAGGCCCT